CTCACCACACAGAGACCCATAGACTCGCCACACAGAGACCCATAGATTCATCACACACAGACCCATAGACTCATCACACACTGACCCATAGATTCACCACACACAGACCCATAGACTCATCACACACAGACCCAGACCCATAGACCCACCACACAGAGACCCATAGACTCACCACACAGAGACCCATAGACTCACCACGCAGAGACCCATTGACTCATCACACAGAGATCCATAGACTCGCCACACACAGACCCATAGACTCCTCACACACTGACCCATAGATGTCACGCACAGACCCGTAGACTCACCACACACAGAGACCCATTGACTCATCACACAGAGACCTATAGACGCACCATGCAGAGACCCATAGACTCACCACACACTGACCCATAGACTCACCACACACAGACCCATAGACTCACCACACACTGACCCATAGACTCACCACACACAGACCCATGACTCAACACGCAGAGATCCATACTCATCACACACAGACCTATAGACCCACCACACACAGATCCATAGACTCACCACACACAGACCCATAGACTCATCACACACTGACCCATAGACTCGCCACACAGAGACCCATAGATTCATCACACAGACCCATAGACTCATCACACACAGACCCATAGACTCATCACACACTGACCCATAGACTCATCACACACTGACCCATAGATTCATCACACACAGACCCATAGACTCATCACACACAGACCCATAGACTCATCACACACTGACCTATAGACCCACCACACAGATCCATAGACTCACCACACAGAGACCCATAGACTCATCACACAGAGACCCATAGACTCACCACACAGAGACCCATAGACTCACCACGCAGAGACCAATGGACTCATCACACAGAGACCCATAGACTCATCACACAGAGACCCATAGACTCATCACACAGAGACCCATAGACTCACCACACAGAGAGCCATAGACTCACCACACAGAGAGCCATAGACTCACCACACAGAGACCCATAGACTCATCACACAGAGAACCATGGACTCATCACACAGAAACCCATAGACTCACCACACAGAGACCTGTAGACTCGCCACACAGAGACCCATAGACTCACCACGCAGACACCCATAGACTCACCACACAGAGACCCATAGACTCATCACACAGAGACCCATAGACTCACCACACAGAGACCCATAGACTCACCACGCAGAGACCAATGGACTCATCACACAGAGACCCATACTCATCACACAGAGACCCATAGACTCATCACACAGAGACCCATAGACTCATCACACACAGACCCATAGACTCACCACACACAGACCCATAGACTCGTCACACACAGACCCATAGACTCATCACAAAGAGACCAATGGACTCATCACACAGACACCCATAGACTCATCACACACAGACCCATAGACTCGGCACACACTGACCCACAGACTCATCACACAGAGACCCATAGACTCATCATACAGAGACCCATAGACTCGCCACACAGAGACCCATAGACTCGCCACACAGAGACCCATAGACTCGCCACACAGAGACCCATAGACTCGCCACACAGAGACCAATGGACTCATCACACACAGACCATAGATTAATCACACACAGACCCAGACCCATAGACTCGCCACACAGAGACCCATAGACTCACCATGCCGAGACCCATAGACTCAACACACACTGACCCATAGACTCACCACAAACAGACCCATAGACTCAACATGCAGAGACCCATAGACTCACCACACAGAGACCTATAGACTCACCACGCAGAGACCCATAGACTCACCAAGCAGATACCCATAGACTCATCACACACTGACCCATAGACTCGTCATGTACAGACCCATAGACTCACACAGAGACCCATAGACTCATCACACAGAGACCCATAGACTCACACATAGACCCATTGATTCATCACACAGATACCCATTGACTCGCCACACAGAGACCCATAGATTAATCACACACAGACCCATAGATTAATCACACACAGACCCATAGACTCATCACACAAAGACCCATAGACTCGCCACACAGAGACACATAGATTCATCACACACAGACCCATAGACTCACCACACAGACCAATAGACTCACCACACACAGACCCATAGACTCACCACGCAGACAACCATAGACTCACCACACAGAGATACCCATAGACTCGCCACACACTGACCCATAGACTCGTCATGTACAGACCCATAGACTCACACAGAGACCCATAGACTCATCACACAGAGACCCATAGACTCATCACACAGAGACCCATTGACTCATCACACACAGACCCATTGACTCATCACACAGATACCCATTGACTCATCACACACAGACCCATAGACTCACCATGCAGAGACCCATAGACTCACCACACACTGACCCATAGACTCAACACGCAGAGACCCCTACTCATCACACACAGACCCATAGACCCACCACACAGAGACCCATAGACTCACCACACAGAGACCCATAGACTCACCACGCAGATACCCATTGACTCATCACACAGAGACCCATAGACTCATCACACACAGACCCAGACCCATAGACCCACCACACAGAGACCCATAGACTCATCACACACAGACCCAGACCCATAGACCCACCACACAGAGACCCATAGACTCACCACACAGAGACCCATAGACTCGCCACGCAGAGACCCATTGACTCATCACGCAGAGACCCATAGACTCGCCACACACAGACCCATAGACTCATCACACACTGACCTATAGACCCACCACACACAGATCCATAGACTCACCACACACAGACCCATAGACTCATCACACACTGACCCATAGACTCACCACACACACCTATAGACTCGTCACACACAGACCCATAGACTCACCACGCAGAGACCAATGGACTCACCAAGCAGATACCCATTGACTCATCACACACAGACCCAGACTCATCACACAGAGACCCATAGACTCGCCACACAGAGACCCATAGATTTATCACACACATACCCATAGATTAATCACACACAGACCCATAGACTCATCACACACAGACCCAGACCCATAGACCCACCACACAGAGACCCATAGACCCACCACACAGAAACCCATAGAACCCCACACAGAGACCCATAGACTCACCACACACATAGACTCATCACACAGAGACTGGTGTAGATTTAGATTGAAAATTCATTTATTTAGAACAGTTTTTTGTGCTTAGTTTGTTGTCTTCACCCTGCAACTCCGATTAACACGGATGGCTATGTACGGTGCGAAATAAGTTCAAGACACACCACACACACACAAGCAACGATAGACCAATCATTTTCGAAGATAACCCAAGCGTGTGAGTGTTCAGCTCCTGCCGTGAATTTCAATGTGACCATGGTCGTATCGGCCGCTTGCTAATGCTGTCATCTGTGTTAGCCAGGTCACTTAAGGTGGCTAGGAGATGTTAACTACCTCGCCCGGTATACAGCAGGTCGTCGGTTCGACCCTGACCCTGACGATGCCCTCTGCTGCTGTATATCTCGAGTTCAGTATCGGCGTCACCGGAGCGTTTTAAGAGTATACGGCCGCTGCTGCTGCCACCGCCATGACGGCTTCTCGCACAATGATATCAGCCGCTCGGCCGGGCTGCCATCGTCTGCGACGGCCGGCTTCACTCGGGGCGGCTCGGAGTTGTTCACGACCTCGCCCGGTGTACGGGGGGGGCGGTCGGGCGTTCGATCCTGACCGTGACGTGATGCCTGCTCCTGTTTATCTGAAGCCTGCGTCTCTCTCTCCCTGTCTCTGTCTCTGTCTCTCTCTCTCGCTCTCTCGCTCCGTGTGCGGTGGTCACTGCGTGGCGTCCTCCGACCTTTTCCCCCCTCCACATTTGGTGGCCGCTGCTTGTCAATTTCCACGCGACGGCGGTGTTTGTGATGGGTCAGGCTCGCTTCTCACCACACAACGTGGCTCGGCGGGGCCTCTCTCACCCCCCTTGAGTTGAGTTTGTCGTTACTATCATCCGAGGCCGCTTTGCACGTCTAACCGCGACCGTGGTGGTGTGTGGCGGACCCCGCACACTTGGCCCGGTCCCTCCTTGGGTGGTTTCCCCCCCGGGGTGTTTGAACGTCTCAACGCGCCACTCCTGTGCGCCCTGTTGGTGGTGTTCCTCCTCGTGGTAAGGCGTTGTGTAGCACTGCGACGGGCCACCGCAGGGCCAGGTCTTGTTCAGCAGCGGCTCATCGGAGGTGTGAGAGTGTGGGTGAGAGAGTGTGTATGGGTGAGAGAGTGTGTATGGGTGGGTATGTGGGTGAGTGAGAGTGTGTGTGGGTGGATGAGAGTGTGAGTGAGGGTGTGTGGCTGAGTGAGAGTGTGGGTGAGAGAGTGTGGCTGAGTGAGAGAGTGTGGCTGAGTGAGAGTGTGTGGCTGTGTGAGAGTGTGTGGCTGTGTGTGGGTGAGTGAGAGTGTGTGTGGGTGGATGAGAGTGTCAGTGAGAGTGTGGGTGAGAGAGTGTGGCTGAGTGAGAGTGTGTGGCTGAGTGAGAGTGTGTGTGGGTAGATGAGAGTGTGGGTGAGTGAGAGTGTGTATGGGTGGGTGTGTGGCTGTGTGAGAGAGTGTGGCTGAGTGAGAGTGTGGCTGAGTGAGAGTGTGAGTGTGCAGGTGAGAGTGAGTGTGCTGGTGAGTGTGTGTGGCTGAGTGTGGGTGGGTGGCTGAGTGTGGGTGGGTGGCTGAGTGAGAGTGTGGCTGAGTGAGGGTGGCTGAGTGAGAGTGTGGCTGAGTGAGAGTGTGGCTGAGTGAGAGTGTGGCTGAGTGAGAGTGTGGCTGAGTGAGAGTGTGGCTGAGTGAGAGTGTGGCTGAGTGAGAGTGTGGCTGAGTGAGAGTGTGGCTGAGTGAGAGTGTGGCTGAGTGAGAGTGTGGCTGAGTGAGTGTGGCTGAGTGAGTGTGGCTGAGTGAGTGTGTGTCTAAAAAAATCCCTTTGTCTGTCCCCCCTCCCTCCCTCCCCGGGTTTCGCAGGGGACGGTGATCGGGCTGGGAGCGATGGCAGCCACGCTGCTGATCCCCAGCTGCTGGGTGCTGTGCCACATGGAGTACTACAAGAAGCGGGAGTGAGACGCATTAACGAGGACGGACGAGGAGGAGGAGGAGGAGGAGGGAGACGTGGGTGAGGAGAGATGGAGACCCCCGGGGGGGAGGCGAAGAGGAGATGGACAAATCCCCTACCAGCCACTCGCCCCGGCTTGCATCCACACTCGCAACCACGCGCACAACCGCTGGTCCACCCACCCACCCGCTCGTCCACCCACCCAATCGGCAACACTCGCTGATCAAATGAAACCTCAGGCTCGCTCGCCTGCCCCGCATACTCGCACGCACGCACGAACGCTCACCCACACGAACGCTCACCCACACGAACGCTCACCCACACGAACGCTCACCCACACGCTCACCCACACGCTCACCCACACGCTCACACACACGCTCACCCACACGCTCACCCACACGCTCACCCACACGCTCACCCACACGCCCACCCACACGCCCACCCACACGCCCACCCACACGCCCACCCACACGCTCACCCACACGCTCACCCACACGCTCACCCACACGCTCACACACGAACGCTCACCCACACGCTCACCCACACGCCCACCCACACGCTCACCCGCATGGTGTTCCATTGCCCGTTGGCGTGCGATGTGAATAAATCAACGCTCTTTGTGAGCGTCCTCCCACCTCAGGAGAGTGGTCGTGGAGTTTCTCTCCACCCCCTCATTGCTGCGTTGAGTCTCGATGGGGTTTATGGGGAACCTTTAACATTGAAGTCTGTGGGAGGATTTAACATTGAAGTCTATGGGGAGACTTTAACATTGAAGTCTGTGGGAGACTTTAACACTGAAGTCTGTGGAAGACTTTAACATTGAAGTCTGTGGGAGGATTTAACATTGAAGTCTATGGGGAGACTTTAACATTGAAGTCTGTGGGAGGATTTAACATTGAAGTCTATGGGAGGATTTAACATTGAAGTCTGTGGGAGGATTTAACATTGAAGTCTGTGGGGGACTTTAACATTGAAGTCTGTGGGAGACTTTAACATTGAAGTCTGTGGGAGACTTTAACATTGAAGTCTGTGGGAGACTTTAACATTGAAGTCTGTGGGAGACTTTAACATTGAAGTCTATGGGAGTCTTTAACATTGAAGTCAATGGGGAGACTTTAACATTGAAGTCTATGGGAGACTTTAACATTGAAGTCTGTGGGAGGATTTAACATTGAAGTCTATGGGGAGACTTTAACATTGAAGTCTGTGGGAGACTTTAACACTGAAGTCTGTGGGAGACTTTAACACTGAAGTCTGTGGGGGACTTTAACATTGAAGTCTGTGGGAGGATTTAACATTGAAGTCTGTGGGGGACTTTAACATTGAAGTCTGTGGGAGGATTTAACATTGAAGTCTGTGGGAGACTTTAACATTGAAGTCTGTGGGAGGATTTAACATTGAAGTCTGTGGGAGACTTTAACATTGAAGTCTAAGGGAGACTTTAACATTGAAGTCTGTGGAAGACTTTAACATTGAAGTCTATGGGAGACTTTAACATTGAAGTCTGTGGGAGGATTTGACATTGAAGTCTATGGGAGGATTTAACACTCAAGTCTATGGGAGACTTTAACATTGAAGTCTATGGGAGACTTTAACATTGAAGTCTGTGAGAGACTTTAACATTGAAGTCTATGGGAGACTTTAACATTGAAGTCTGTGGGAGGATTTAACATTGAAGTCTGTGGGAGGATTTAACATTGAAGTCTATGGTGAGACTTTAACATTGAAGTCTATGGGAGACTTTAACATTGAAGTCTATGGGAGACTTTAACATTGAAGTCTATGGGAGACTTTAACATTGTAGTCTGTGGGAGGATTTAACATTGAAGTCTGTGGGAGACTTTAACATTGAAGTCTGTGGGAGAATTTAACATTGAAGTCTGTGGGAGACTTTAACATTGAAGTCTGTGGGAGGATTTAACATTGGAGTCTATGGGAGACTTTAACATTGAAGTATATGGGGAGACTTTAACATTGAAGTCTATGGGAGACTTTAACATTGAAGTCTATGGGAGGATTTAACATTGAAGTATATGGGAAGACTTTAACATTGAAGTCTATGGGAGACTTTAACATTGTAGTCTATGGGAGACTTTAACATTGAAGTCTGTGGGAGCCTTTAACATTGAAGTCTGTGGGAGACTTTAACATTGAAGTCTATGGGGAGACTTTAACATTGAAGTCTATGGGAGCCTTTAACATTGAAGTCTATGGGACGATTTGATAGATGAACTTTCTGAGACTGCCTCAAAAGGGCCTCGTGAAACCTTGGACACCCACGATTCCTGACTCTTTATACCCCTACACATCCTACATCCTATAGAGTTAGTAGTATCTACTGACTCTATATACCCCTACACATCCTATAGAGTTAGTAGTATCTACTGACTCTCTATACCACTACACATCCTACATCCTATAGAGTTAGTAGTATCTACTGACCCTATATACCCCTACACATCCTATAGAGTTAGTAGTATCTACTGACTCTATATACCCCTACACATACTATAGAGTTAGTAGTATCTACTGACTCTATATACCCCTACACATCCTTCATACTATAGAGTTAGTAGTATCTACTGACTCTATATACCCCTACACATCCTATAGAGTTAGTAGTATCTACTGACTATATATACCCCTACACATCCTACATACTATAGAGTTAGTAGTATCTACTGACTCTATATACCCCTACACATCCTACATCCTATAGAGTTAGTAGTATCTACTGACTCTATATACCCCTACACATCCTACATCCTATAGAGTTAGTAGTATCTACCTACCCTATATACCCCTACACATCCTACATGCTATAGAGTTAGTAGTATCTACTGACTCTCTATACCCCTACACATCCTACATCCTATAGAGTTAGTAGTATCTACTGACTCTATATACCCCTACACATCCTACATCCTATAGAGTTAGTAGTATCTACTGACTCTATATACCCCTACACATCCTATAGAGTTAGTAGTATCTACTGACTCTATATACCCCTACACAACCTACATCCTATAGAGTTAGTAGTATCTACTGACTATACCCCTACACATCCTATAGAGTTAGTAGTGTCTACTGACTCTCTATACCCCTACACATTCTATAGAGTTAGTAGTATCTACTGACTTTATACCCCTACACATCCTACATCCTATAGAGTTAGTAGTATCTACTGACTATACCCCTACACATCCTACATACTATAGAGTTAGTAGTATCTACTGACTCTCTATACCCCTACACATCCTATAGAGTTAGTAGTATCTACTGACTCTATATACCCCTACACATCCTACATCCTATAGAGTTAGTAGTATCTACTGACTCTCTATACCCCTACACATCCTATAGAGTTAGTAGTATCTACTGACTCTATATACCCCTACACATCCTATAGAGTTAGTAGTATCTACTGACTCTATATACCCCTACACATCCTATAGAGTTAGTAGTATCTACTGACTCTATATAGCCCTACACATCCTACATCCTATAGAGTTAGTAGTATCTACTGACTCTCTATACCCCTACACATCCTATAGAGTTAGTAGTATCTACTGACTCTCTATACCCCTACACATCCTATAGAGTTAGTAGTATCTACTGACTATATACCCCTACACATCCCACATCCTATAGAGTTAGTAGTATCTACTGACTCTATATACCCCTACACATCCTATAGAGTTAGTAGTATCTACTGACTCTATATATCCCTACACATCCTACATCCTATAGAGTTAGTAGTATCTACTGACCCTATATACCCCTACACATCCTACATACTATAGAGTTAGTAGTATCTACTGACTCTATATACCCCTACACATCCTACATCCTATAGAGTTAGTAGTATCTACTGACCCTATATACCCCTACACATCCTACATACTATAGAGTTAGTAGTATCTACTGACTCTATATACCCCTACACATCCTACATCCTATAGAGTTAGGAGTATCTACTGACTCTATATACCCCTACACAACCTACATCCTATAGAGTTAGTAGTATCTACTGACTCTATATACCCCTACACATCCTATAGAGTTAGTAGTATCTACTGACCTACACATCCTACATCCTATAAAGTTAGTAGTATCTACTGACTCTCTATACCCCTACACATCCTACATACTATAGAGTTAGTAGTATCTATTGACCCTATATACCCCTACACATCCTACATCCTATAGAGTTAGTAGTATCTACTGACCCTATATACCCCTACACATCCTAGATACTCTAGAGTTAGTAGTATCTACTGACTATATACCCCTACACATCCTACATACTATAGAGTTAGTAGTATCTACTGACTCTATATACCCCTACACATCCTATAGAGTTAGTAGTATCTACTGACTCTATATACCCCTACACATACTATAGAGTTAGTAGTATCTACTGACTCTATATACCCCTACACATCCTTCATACTATAGAGTTAGTAGTATCTACTGACTCTATATACCCCTACACATCCTATAGAGTTAGTAGTATCTACTGACTATATATACCCCTACACATCCTACATACTATAGAGTTAGTAGTATCTACTGACTCTATATACCCCTACACATCCTACATCCTATAGAGTTAGTAGTATATACTGACTCTCTATACCCCTACACATCCTACATCCTATAGAGTTAGTAGTATCTACCTACCCTATATACCCCTACACATCCTACTTGCTATAGAGTTAGTAGTATCTACTGACTCTCTATACCCCTACACATCCTATAGAGTTAGTAGTATCTACTGACTATACCCCTACACATCCTACATACTATAGAGTTAGTAGTATCTACTGACTCTCTATACCCCTACACATCCTATAGAGTTAGTAGTATCTACTGACTCTATATACCCCTACACATCCTACATCCTATAGAGTTAGTAGTATCTACTGACTCTATATACCCCTACACATCCTATAGAGTTAGTAGTATCTACTGACTCTATATACCCCTACACAACCTACATCCTATAGAGTTAGTAGTATCTACTGACTCTCTATACCCCTACACATCCTATAGAGTTAGTAGTATCTACTGACTCTCTATACCCCTACACATTCTATAGAGTTAGTAGTATCTACTGACTTTATACCCCTACACATCCTACAT